AAATATGTTAAAGTTACAAATGTCTTGATTTCTGATTGGTAGATCTGGGGGTATATCAATCTGTACGTAAATTTGAGGCTTTGTTTTCTGACTAACTTATGGATTTTATCTGCATTAAAACCATTATTCTGTCCTATCTGTACAATTATTTTAATTCCTCCATCTAGATTGTTAGCAAATAAAGATAAAGATAATGCTCTGTGTAACATTGAATTGTAGGCTGCTAATTTATGACGGTATTTAGGAAAAGAATCACTTGAATTTGTAATATCTGTGTAGCCCGGTTACATTGAACTCATAACATAGGAAGTTCAATTTTCATTTTTACTTTCTTATTAGTCAGTGGGCTATGTTTGCAGACCGGTTTCGGGATCATTAGCCACTCATCAGTGCAAGATAGTGGCCATCATCGACCTATAGTCAATGATATTCCATAATTGAAAATCGGAATTATTTCAGAGTATTTCATTCCTCTTCCTAAGTTGGAGCGAACAACAAAATGTCACTCCATCTAGTGTACGAGGTACTAACCCCAACTGCTTATCAGAAATTTGCCCGATTCCTCTGGATAAGGAAGAAAAACTTTCTTATTAGTCAGTGGGCTATGCTTGAAGACTGGCAGTAAACAAATCTAAAGAAATGAACTTTAAACTTTAGTGGCTAGTGTGCAAGTGTGCCCGTTCCAAAATTGAAAGTCGACTCTTTCAGTTGTATTACCAATTGCATATGCAGGAAATTTTCTGTGAAGATTTCTGCACTGATGCCTGTCGGATATAATCCTACGCCCTTCGTGGTATTAGCCAGGGGAGTTGTTTTCTGATAGGCGTCAGTCCATTCAACCTACTTTGTAGGTATATTCGAGACTGGCTTGAACGTTTAAAGTTCATTTCTTCAGATTTAATTTTTAAGTATGATCTCCTACCACGTAGTAACGGCTACATCCATGAATTTATTGAGTCAGAATTATTTGTCGAAACTATTAGGCATTTTTTCGCTACACCTACAGTTCTGGAGAAAACACTCCTCTTTTAACTTATGACAACGTAGAAAGCCACTTGTCCTTGGAAACTCCCATGCTATACAAAGAAAATGGCAATTCAGTTCTGATTTACCATTCATCCAATAAAATGCAACCACTGGATGTTGCGGTTTTTGGGCCATTCAATACTTATATACTTATTATAATTATACAATACTTATTATAATGCTGTTCTTGACTCTGAAATGATTCAAAACCTTGGAAAAACAGTTTCAATTTATAATATAGCATCCTTCGTAAATACAGCTCACCATAAAAGCATGACCCCTTTCAACATAGTTGCAGGATTCAAATGAAGTGGAATACATCCATTTGACCGAGATGTTTTTTCCTAAGCAGTGCAAATATGTGATTGCAATGGCTTTCCCGCACAAGTAGAAGAACCATGCAGAAATCAGTGTCCTTGATCCAGAAGCTGCTTCAAGTCAAGCTTTCCTCTCTACTGAAAATTTTCGTGGTCATCTAAAAGCAGGAGAACGAAAACCGACTCAAAAGCCGAGGAATAAAGGCAAGAGTATGACAGCTACGAGCGCTCCAGAAATTAGAGCAAGAAAGAAAATAGATTCAATTTTCCAAGGAGAATGATTCCAAAAGAAGGGTGTTCGGGCTGAAGAAGAAAAAATCTGCACAAATGAACGACGTGCCTTCATCAGAGGATGATGACGAAGACGTTTCATATGTAGACATGGACGACGACTTGGAAATGGATGAAAATTTATTTGATGTTGAGCCCGACCATTTTACGTAATTGTTCAGACTTCCTGTTTTAGATTTGTTTTGGTTGAGTTCAAAACTGAAACCCAATCAGGATTCTACCTTAGTCGAATCACCAAGATGAGAGATGAGCAACACCTTCGTTGAGCTTAGTGTAGATGACAGTGCCTTAGTTAATAACACAGACATAAAGATGTAGCTGTAACTGTAAATGAGGTCATTAAAAGACAAAATGGTTTTGTCCCATTCTGAGTCGATTTCAGTAATTTGAACATTAGCTAAATGAAATGTCAAATTATTTCGTATATGTGCCTTAATATTCATAACCAGTTGAACTAATTTTATTGAATACATTCCTATTGTTGAACCTATTCATTAATTGGAAAAATTAAGTTGTTTTTTTCGAGGTTTTTTTAGTAATTTATAGAACTTACCGCTCAAATAGATTTCGATAAGAATTCAGTGGACAGAAAATTAGATTAAGATATGATAATAATTTTTATATGCGATGAAATAACATATACAGTAATGATTACAATGAATTATAACAGTTACGATAACCACTCAAGAAAGTGGCAAACCATATACACGTGTTTCGGGCTTTTGGTTCATCATCAGTATGGTGCAGTTTCTATATTGAAAGGGTTTGGTAGTCAATATCGAATGGCTATAAATTAATACTATTTATTGATCATTCAAGCTTTCGGAATATTTTATTTCCTTTTTCAAGAATATCTGAAACTAAAAAATGGAAGCAAACAATAAATTGAAAGAACATATGAAAATAACTCACCAAAATGCGCTTTAAAAATGTTTTCATCTGTTATCGTTCTTTATGTTTGTGAATGTATGCTATTTCATTTTTAAACCTTATTTTGATGAGGTATTTCCATAAGTTCTTTCAATTGTTCTATTTTTTATTTATATCCTACACACTCCATAACATCTATATCTGTATTTATATCCAGGACCTGAACACAGAGCTGAACACAGCAAGCATAGGGCTAGTAACGAGACTTGAGGGCAAGGGAGATTGCGACCTCGTCCTCGAGTCATGTAAATACAGTTCCTATAAAAAAGAAGGTGTTATCGAGTGTCTATGATTTAATTCAAAAAGGAAAAGATTAGTCGGAACAGCACTCAAGAAAAATTATTGGCAAACCGCGGCAACGTGTTTCTGGCTATTGGCCTCATCAACAGCAACACTTGGTTGCTGAAAACGGGTGATATTAGGATATTCTAAAAATTCAAGGTCTCCTAATTGAAATCACAAATGTACTTACATGGAAATCTCACCTACAGAGTGAAGCAAACAGAGCATATATAGCATATGAGCAATATTGTAGGACAGTGGGATGCACATGGGGTTTTTCAGCCCGTGTGGTCACCTGGATCTATACTGCAATAATAAGACCTATGTTAACGTACGGAGCCATTGCATTGGGACCAAAAGTTCTACAAGCAACGGACATCCGAAGATTATAACAAATGCAGCCGGGCCTGTACGTTAAGGAGGTTGCTTTATTGGGAATGTTACGATTGCGCACGGCTGGTGTAAACCTCGAAGTAGAAATGGATCAATTGAGGCTAATCCTATGGCGAGAATCGCTTACTCCGCAACCTCTTTCGCAGGCAGCTAGTGATGCAATCGAACCCAGATTGAAGTGGAAAATGGGAAAAAATACCAGCGTGTTTTAAACAGAACTGGCTGGTATCTCAATCACCACCATAAAAAATAACCAGGAAAGAATTTTCTGGCAAAAACATAACAATCTGCACTGAGAGTAGACAAGCGCTACTAGCCTTGAACAGAGAACGTTTTACCTCAGCGCCAGTACGTGTTACCTCAAGGCTAGTACTAGAGTACCTACAAGATTTAGCCAAAGCCTCTAGATAATAACATTATCCTGAGGTGGTTTCCCGATAACAGTTACCTTTTTTCCCATTTAATCGTCTTCGTATCTGTTACGGTTTAGTATATAGCAATGTTACCACATTATAAAAGAAACGGCCTGTATATAATTTTCGTAATGGAAGCGGCTAGATATATGAAATAATTGAATATAAAGAATACTATATAATCGAAAAGGATAATGCAGTGACTCATATCAACACATCCTTCGCAAGAATTCATCTAAGCTATACTTGTAATATCCCACATTCCTCAGTACTTCTTTGAAACGATTATTGACATATTGAAATCGGGACTGACATTGCTGTTTTAGGTGTGTTAATATATTTTTGCACGTGTATCTATTTATATTCAGTGTTGTTTCTTTCTGTCAGAGTTTGTATTCTCATTTCCTCTTGGAATTTATGTCATATGCAAACTCCACTATATAAATTATCAACAAGTAGTAGGATCTCTTATCAAGTCCATATATCGAAAATAGTACTTGCAGGTCCAGGAATGTTCTTTAGGAAAAACCCTCTTGTTGGATAGCATCTGACTCAGATCATTTTTAGTTGACGTTTACCTTTATTTTTCAAGCGAAACTTCATTAGTTTGAAAGCAACTCGTTTCGCATCATATTTTCCTAATCTCCATAAGAGCAGCTCATGCTTTTGTACGCTTTTATTTAAAAACTATTAAATAATTTTTAAACGTCTACGTTGTTACGTACCCCTTGTGCTGCTCAATTTTTTTCAGCGCAATATTCTTGTAATGTCACCTTGTAATGTCACCTTGTATTAAATTGCAATTGTTTTCCGTTTCGATTAATTGCCTTCATCATCATTAGGCTGACACACTTTCCTGCGGTATTGAACAAAATATTACCTTTGTTACTTATATATGGCGCGCGACCAATATTCTATTTATTCATTGTTTGTCGGAGTAGTTCAAGTGAGATTGGCATCATTGTAAGTTATGATAATTGTACATATAAAGTATTCATATGACTGTAACATCATTAAAACATGAAATTTTGTAAAATAGTTTAGATACTAACAAACTAAATTTCGTAAACTTTCACGGCCAAAGATAACTGTGTCGAAGCAATTTTCCGAAGCAGGCCGTGGTCTGCAGGTTATTATGCCTGACGTTTTGTCTACCACTGCGGTAGATATTATCAATGGCGATGAGATAACGGTCGAAGTGCTCAAGTTGTTGTTCCCGTTGCTCCTAACGCAAAAACCACGCTGTAATTTGTCTCAGGTTGTATATCATCACAAGTGGACGTGGCTTCGTTTCTCTCGATTGTATTACTTGACATTGTTTGTGTACAATTAAGGACAGGTATCCAGATTTCATTCGTGTTCATTGCCTCTTTATTTCTATTGAAATTATACCTGTGTTTCTGAGTTTCTATTGCCTCTCTGTATGTTCTTTGATAGTGATTTTGAGTTTTGTCGAGTATTTCTGTATCTTTGAATGAGATAATGTGAGTACCTTCTTTGGGAGAATTTTTGGATACAGCTGATTTATCGGTTTGTCCGAGGCGATAATTTCTTTTGTGTTCTATTATATCTCAACTCTCTCGACCCAAAAATTCAATCCACAATGGAACGAGAAACCCAGACACTAGCGTTCGTGGATGTTCTGTGAACAGACATGAATATGGTACATTGGACCACAGAATGTACAGGAATCCAACACAGACAGACAGGTAACTGAACAAAAAATTTAACCACCAGCCACAACAAAAGAGAGAGGTAATTAAAACGTTGGTTGAAAGAGCACGTTGTATTCGTGAATCTGAGAGTCTTCTTGAGGAACTCAACGCATTCAAAAAGAGTGGGTACGGCAAAGGAGAATTCCTGTGGATACTGACCCATCACAAACGGTGCATGGGGTGACGGAAGAACTGAGCGTCAGCTTCCATGCGATTTTTGAATGTTCGAAAAGGCATTAGAGAGATCAAAAACCTCAAAAAGTGAGTGTCCCACGATTTGAACGATCTACAGAAATTGTCATGTTTCGAAGTCTGTTCTTCTTTGCTTTTGTGCCACCAAAATGATTTTTTTTTGGATGCGTTCGTCACTTGTGATGAAAAGTGACGTTCAGGACAGTGGCGAAAATTCACCAAAAAAACCATGGTTGTTGTTTGATGTGATTCACTATAACTTTCTGCAACCGGGCCAAACCATCACAACAGAGTCTCATTGTAAGGAAATCGACGAAATGTACCGAAAATTAGATTAGATCAGATTAGATTTTTTATTGGTCACACCTTAGTGCTATGACAAGTCAATAATCTGTTTAAAAAATCTGTTTTTCCGTTAACCAGCTGTCGCACCCCTACGAACGACAACCCTCAGAAGTCGAAACTTGTGCCAGCTAAGGATTAACGAGGTCTTACCTTTTAACGTGTGATTCCTAACACGGGTTGGACGGTAGCAAGTGAAGATCGATCGTTCAGACTAGGGCTTGAACCACCGACCAACACGGCAGTCAATTCGAGTGAGTGAACAAAGCACCCACGCCGAACCGCTTGGCTACCGACTGAATAATGTATAAAATAAATGTAAATTACAATTAAAATCACCGAAAAGGAGTAGGTAGTACATAAAAATTGTATATGATACAAGCACAAAATAAAGTAAAGATACATAGAGACAGTACCTACGTTGACGATAGTCACTCTGTAAAGCTGAAGTCAGACGCATCATAGTAAACATTCTCTGAGAGATGTTTTTTCAGTTTCCGTTTGAAATTAGCGAGGGTTGATTGGGGCAGTGAGTTGTACAATGATATGTATGACTTACATCTCCTTGTTATTTCTAGTCTTTGGTTTGTGCTCTAATATTATCCTTGTTCTTAGTATTATACGAATGGTTGTTACCGTTTGTAGTGAACTTTTGTAAATTTTCTTGAATGTGTATCAAATTGCAGTATATTACACACGATGGCAGAGTTAATATTTCGAACTTAATAAACCAATTCGTATAGCTCTCCATTTGACCTATTGCTCTTTTTTGAATTTTAAATATTCTCGAGATACGAACAAAATCAAATTGCAGTATATTATACGAATGGTTGTTACCGTTTGTAGTAAACTTTTGAAAATTTTCTTGAATGTGAATCAAATTGCAGTATATTACACACGATGGCAGAGTTAATATATTGAACTTAATAAACCAATTCGTATAGCTCTCCATTTGACCTATTGCTCGTTTTTGAATTTTAAATATTCTCGAGATACGAACAAAATCAAATTGCAGTATATTACACACGATGGCAGAGTTAATATTTCGAACTCAATAAACCAATTCGTATAGCTCTCCATTTGACCTATTGCTCTTTTTTGAATTTTAAATATTCTCGAGATACGAACAAAGCAAAAGCAAAAATCTTTTTCATTAAAATAAACTATTTACATGCCTACATTTCATGAGTACCTCTACCTTAAGGGTAGAGTAGCAAAGTGACTCCAGACAGACGTGCCCTCACGTCCCCGCCGAGAGGAGGCGGTGTGGAACGCCCCCCGCGATATTAGCGGGTTGATGCTCACCCAGAAACATAGACTTTTGTAAAACGGCTAGGTAATGTGCCTTCTGCCGTCAAGGCTTATGCACATCATTACATGGTTTTGATATTCAGGTCTTTCAAATGAAAACATAGCTGTCGATGTGTTGGTTAGTTGGATACTCCTGGAAAAAGTTCATGAAAAGCCAGGACAGAATGTCTATAGGAAGTTTTCTATGCCAGTTTTCTCATGAGCTTACAGGCGGTCACTTACATGTCGCTCATGGAAAATATCGAGTGCTTCGTAAATCAACCCACCGTGACGGAGGGGTTAATTATGATAAACTCTAACTGCCGTGATATTACTAGTCAGCGGACTTTTCGGAAGGAACCACTTGAAGTGTTTTTAAGCAAGCCTTCGGATTAAATCCGTAATCGGCTCGATCTTCGCTATGTATCGTAAACGCTCCAATGAAATGTATCGATCATTATCAGTCACGATACGAAGCACCTTATTCTGCATTGTCTCGAGTCTCCGCAACGGAGTCCTCTTGAGGCTACAGAACACAGGACAAGCGTACAACATAGCTGGCCTGATAATTTGCTTGTATATCAGGAGCTTGTTGTCCACACTTAGTTTGGAATTTCGTACAATCAGAGGGTAGTTTCGTTTAATCGCCGCTCCCGCTCTCTGAATTTTCAGACTCAATTGCTCATGAAAATTCAAGCGCTTGTCCAGGATAACTCCCAGATACTTCGCACTTTTCTGTTCTTCCACACCCTTTTCTTGAATCGTCAATTTCCTGAAGATCTTCACCTCGGTGAATTTCTTCGTGAAATTGACAAGTTCAGTCTTTGACGGATTTAGCCTTATCTTATTCCTTTCAAATTGCAGTATATTACACATGATGTCAAAGTTAATATATTGAACTCAATAAACCAATTGTTACAGCTCTCCATTTGACCTATTCCAGCTAAAACTCTGATTGCTCTTTTTTGAATTTTAAATATTCTCGAGATATGAACAGATGTGCCCCAGTTTATCAATCCATAAATTAAGGAAATATGAAACATTGCATGATAAGCGGTATGGGCAGCTTCATTACCAACTTTATTTTTTATCTGCCTGATTGCATAGACCTTGCATGATAGATTTTTTGCTAGTTTGTCAATATGGGGTTTCCAAGTTAACTTTGAATCAATGGTTATACCAAGACATTTCACATTATTCGAGAGATTATGGGACAGCAAGAACATAACTGTTTGTGTGTTGCTTTCATTCACACATAGGCTATTCGCAATAAAACAGTCCGTAGCTTCTTGAATAACTCGCTTTTCTAATTCTGATGACTCTTCAATATTTTTTTGCGAATGGCAAAGGAAGTGTCATCGGCGAATAGCACTGTAAACATTGTCACTGAATTTGGCAGGTCATTAATATAAATCAAGAAAAGTAGTGGTTCAAGCACACTACCTTGTGGAACACCATTCAATATCGTTTGTAAGCTACTGAGTTCTTCATTATATGATACACATTGCTTTCTCTCATTTAGATATGATGCTAGCAGACTGTGTGCTATGCCTACAAATCCATAGTATCTCAGTTTTTCTGATAAAATGTCAGTAGAGACGCAGTCGAACGCCTTGCTCAGATCGAGGAATATGCCAAGTGTCGATTCTTCTTTTTGGAAACCTTCAGTTATGAAGTCGACTAATTCGATCACTGCTTTCGACGTGCTTCTTCCTTTCCTGAATCTAAAACTATCTATCTGTCAAGATATTTGTGTACTCTAAATAATTTATCATTCTTTTTGCCATTATTTTTGCAATTACTGGAAGTAGTGCAATTGGTCTGTAGTTTGAAGGAAGATTGATATCACCACTTTTATAGCCCGGAATTAACTTTGCAATTTTTAGTTTTGATGGAAATACACCAAATTTCAGAATCAAGTTGACAATATGTAATTGGTCGTAGAAGTGCAGATAGATTTTTCTTGTACATAACCACTGAGTGATTGTAAATATCAAGCGAGCCCGAGTTTTTTAGGGATTTTATGACTTCATTCACCTCAAACTGATACTAGTTTGATAGAAATGCATCGAGTTATCAACATTGCATGGAACTTGGTGGAGATAGTTTGTGAATGAATTATTAGGTGTGCTCATGTCATTATTCATATCCAGAGCTACATTCATAAAAAAAGTCATTGAACTGCTCTGATGTAAAAAAAGAAGAGCTATTCGTGTGATTATTGCTACCTATGTTTTTATTTATAAGCTACCAGCGTCTGCCTCACTCTGCCATACTTCCCAGACCTCTCGCCAACAGACTACCATCTTATCAAGTACTTGGATTTCGATTAAATTGAATGAGTATTTTTCTAGATATTAAAGTTCGAAGTAGACCAATAAAAACAGACACAACTTTCGAAACAACCTATACAATACCTAGTCCTCTTATTTTTATCAGTTTTTCTACGAAACATTAACAATAATAATTGCATTGCAGATAAACCATGAAGATGATAGTGGACTTCAAATATGCCTAGGTAATCAGAGAAACTGCCGAATAGTCTCTACAATCTTCCCAAAGGTCAAAGGTCGCACTACAAACATCTCTCTTATCTCACCAGAGGACTATCAATGGTCGAAGTTACTTCGAAGAGAATCAATAGTTCCAACGTCACCGCATAGTGAACTTGATCTACTGATACCTTTTTTTTCCGAAAATGTTACCATCAATAAACTCCTATTCTATTCTGTACACTCTTTTCGCGTGGTTTTTGGGAGTGTGCTATGGATTCGTGTTGCTCTCTTCAGCTGCCGGACATTTTAGTGATGTTAAACTTTTCGAAATTGGTGAATCTCTCCGATACAAGCTGCAATCGACTGTTTTATTGAACGAAAAAGATTTAACGGCTAAAAATGTCGGGTTCTTCATCGATGGAGAGGTGGTTGTCGATGTTATTTGGGAGAATGATAACCAGAAAGTACTCAGGATACAGGTAAGTTTCTGCTAGGTGATATGTCTACAGGGTGAGTCAGAAAGTTGGTTCGAATTCGCAGCGAAACATACAAGTATTTATTTTACCTAAATACTAAATGAATGAATTGAATGCTATTCTTTAGACCAGAGGTCTCCAAACTACGGCCCGCGGGCCAAATCCGGCCCGCCAGTGTCATCAATCTTTCCTCTCTGTGCAAGATCTCAGCTTGGGACCACTCGATGTTGTGTTGATGGGTCCAAACATGGTCTGCTATTCCTGATTTGCTGGTTTCCCCTCGCTGTGTGTGTTTCTTGTGCTCGGCAATGCGGATATTGAATTCTATCCGACAGACAATAATGCCAGATACCTCCCAGAGGTTAGTCTCGCAGATGTTTTTTGTTCATCCAGCAACTGGACCGTTCTGGAATTATTCGAGTAGATCACCTACAGAACGGTTTCAAGATTTGAAAGTAGAGAAATTGAATCTAGGTTAACTTGAACATGAATAGATATCTCCACATAAGCTACATCACTAAAAAACATGTTTTCTCTATAAAAACATCGTTAAGAAATTTCGAAAAAGTGATCAATACGCTCCCTCGATTGTGGATCAAATGTTGCGATGCCCTGTATAATAATAACATTACGATACGTACGTACTTTCTATTAGCAATTTTTTATTTATTTTTTTATGTTGGTACACTCGTCTCGAACATATGCTGTTTATCATGTTTAGTTTGTTGGTGAGAGGCATCAAAGTTAGGAGTGTTCTGTGTGTTTGGCAATCGAAAGAAATGGTTCAAATTATTTGTTATGATAGGGCATCAAATTAAAATGACCAGTTTAGGTAGACTCACATATATTCAGTTATACATGCTGTCTTGATGAGTGCTCAGAATCAACCGACTAATATATATCATAATATCAAGTCATTCGAGTACAGATATGATTCATATTCGCAACGTTTCCATTATATAGTTTTATTAGAATAAAATGATAAGCTAGAATACAGGGTCATTCCTATTTAATGTTTTATTGATCAACCCAATATTATTTGTATTAAAGTTCGTGTAAAAAATACAATAAAGTTCTCAAAATACTTGAAATGTTGACAGTGGTTTACGATGATTGTACTCTGAATTAGAAAAATGTTTACAAGTGAGAAGATGTGAATGACGACGCTTGCCCAGGACGCTCCAGCACACCAGCAATCGATGCGACTGTTGAGAAAGTGAAAAAACTTGTTATGGAGAATCCTCGAATCCTTATTGGAGAGTATATTGGAACATCCTCGATTGTACTTCATGCTGATGACACATCGATTTCTCCAGCAGCAGATAGTCCTTAGGAGTTCGAAGAGAGGCTGAATTTTGTCAGCAACGACATGGTGTCATGATAATAGACTTGCCGTTAATGCAGAAAAATCAATATTAATTGAATTCTTCGGTAAAAAAAGATTTACTAATCATATACAAGTTTTAGTCCATTATGTTACAATTCTCCCAAGTGAAGCAACCAAATTTATGAGTGTTCACATTGACATAATTTACCTTGGAAATTTCATTAAAACCATGTGGTTAGAAAACTTAATAGCAGCGTTTATGCACTATTGCAACAGATCTCAATGTACTAAAATAAACAATGTCCTATCAAGCTAAAAAGCAATTGATACCGGGTTCCCCCAAGGGAGTGTACCTGGCCCTGTTTTATTCATACTTCATTTGAATGACGTATATTTTATTAGTGACTGTGAATTCATCAACCTCTTTGCAGATGATACTCTCATTGCAGCAAGCGACTTAGATATTCATAATACTGTACGCGAAATCAATTTGATTTTTGAAAACGTNGACTTCTATAAAAGTGACCGAACATAATGTGTGTATTATTTATACGTATTTGAATGTATATTGTATATAATAATTGTTATTTCACTTGATGTAACTCCGTTATATTTCATTCTTTATATTGTTTTTTATTATACTTGTATTTGACGTTTCCTACACCTTAATTGTATGTTCTAAAAGGAAAAAAAAGTATTATTATTATGTTTGCTGAGGATGTAGACATATCGGTTCTTTCATGCCATGCAATTTTTTTTGGAAATTTTGGGCATGAAGCGTTTGACAGCTGAGTTGGTTACAAAATTGCAGAATTGTAACCAAATAAACTGTCGCATGAACGTCGCCCAGAGATTGTTGAATAACGTCAACGGCGATTCAGATTCGTTATGATCAAAAGGATCATAACTGTGACACGAATCATTGATATATGGTTATGACATGAAACCAAAGTCCAATCGTCCCAATGGAAGAGTCCAGGAGAGCCAAGACCAAAAAAAGCACGCCAGGTTCGATCAAATGCTTAGTTTTTGCTCACTGTTTTCTTCGATTACCGACGCGTAGTGCATCAGGAATTTTCGCTACATTGTCGTATGGGTTATTATCACTCGTCATTGCTTGTTCGTGATTTTTTGGTCAAAAACAACACCGTTATCATTCCTCAGCCACCGTAGTCACCAGATTTGGTCCCCTGTGACTTTTTTCTGTTCTCAAGTTTGAAGAAACGCATAAAAGGACAGTGTTTTGCGACGATTGAGACGATAAAAATCGAATTCCTAAGAAAGCTCACGGACGTACCAAAAAGAACATTTCTGAACTGTTTCGATGATTGGAAAAAACGCTGGAGGGCTACTTTGAAAAGGATAAGGGAGAAATTGGTGATCGACTAAATATTTTTTGAAGAAAATTAAAATTCACATTATTTTTTGAACAGTCAGCGTATTACTTGAAACTGACTACACAAACTATTATTGAGATTAAAACAAAATATCGACACTTGAAACACTAGACACAGAACATCCTCATTATTTCCTAATTATTGGTCCCGCCTGGTACACTCAATTATTCATTTAAACCAAGCATTCTTTTAGGCACACAAAGTAACGTTATTCGTACAGATCCGGTTTCTTTAATGCCTGAATCCCTGGCACTCCGAATCATGTCTAGCACTTCAATCAATGGGCAAGTTAGTGTGTAGATAAAAATGCTTCGAGAATAGTACTACTGATTTTGATCTGGTGTTCGTGATTAGTGCATTAGTTCTGTGTGGTAGGATTACGAGTACGCAGTGCAATTGTTTTACTCGAGTAGGTAGGTACGAGTTATTATTATGGTAGGCTCTAATGAGCTGAATAAATCGTATATTACAAAGTAGTAGAACTGTTAATTAAACTATTGGGTGTCGATTCAGATGTACCGTGATTTTTCGTCAGATATACCGTTTGCCGGTAGATATAAAATTATTTATAACTCTCGCTATCAGCTGTTTTTTCACACACAGTCCTGATAAAGGAATCAAAGTTCTAACATCAGACCTGAAGTGGACATGAATCTCTACAAGTTGACACATTCCTTTTAATGATATTCATAATTTGTGACAATTTCAAAACGGGTCGAATTTTTCTACAGTGGGATATAAAGAAAATTCTCGAAAGAATTTTTCAATAGAAAATGTAAACACTTTGCGATTAGATTGTTTTCATTATGAATATTAGTTTAATTCAATTATGTTGTCAGAAAACAAGTGAGGATCTCTCGGTGAAATATAATACTCTTGCTTTTTCCTAGCTCGCGCAAGTCTTTAGAGAACTTCTGAGAGTTGTTCGCAGGACACAGGTGATTGACAATTGAAGCAATATTGAATGATACATTTGATCACTAACCTCCGTGTATACAGCGTGTCCCCCGATAGTTTGTCTTTGGTATGATCTTGAATGGAAAGGAGACAAGGTTATATTTTTAGGAGTGATTAATTTTTGGGAAAGAAAGTTTTTGGCTTTCTACTACTCCATCTTGATACAAAAAAATGTGGGACTCTTCCAAAGAAAGGAAGGAAGTAACCAATTTGAAAATAAGTAACTCTATACATGCATGTGTAGATCATGCAAAGAAGTAACTTTCAGACACAAACCGGAAGAAAGCCCTCCTGAAACAGCTAATTTCATACAAACATTGAATTGCACGAAAGAAAAAATTCTTTCGAAACATATACTTTTATATTGAACACTGAATTTGCGCTTGATATTTCTAAGGCCTTTGACCGTGTATGGTATAAGAGTTTGCTGGCCAAATTTCGATGCCATGCCTTGTCGGATCATATTTGTGTGTGACTCTTCAACTTCCTGAGAGAACTTTTCCTGCAAGTAGCCGTCGATGGATATCTCTCCTGTTGTGTTTTGTCCCTAAAAAATACAAAATATTCATTCAGAGCCCTACTTATATGTTCAATTATTTACACCCATTCGTTTTCAGAATTATTATTTAAATGATTTATTACTTCGTCGACGTTTAAAGTGATATGTTTTGTTCCATTATAAATACGATGAAGGATATCGACATAAATAAAATATGAATACGTACCTATTGATGGTAACTGGTAATAGAGATGGTTCTGAAGATATGAATTTGTTCTGAAAATTGCTGTTAATTTTTTTGCATTACCCGTTGTATGCAAAAAACAAATGTTTTCAAATTCATTATTGATGATGATATTCACATATAGCAATTGAAAAGATATAGGGGAGAGTGGGGCACATTGAAACACGGGACACAATGAAACAATTGGTGTACCACATATAACGTGCATTCAACAGAATATCAGTAGAGAGCGCTGAGGATGACTCCAAACGTGGCTTTGGATCTTCCCCTTTCCACTAGTTGTGTCATACACTCCGCGAGCTCAAGTGCGGTTATTTGTGGTGAAATTAACATTTTTCGTCGAAGAGACTTTCGTCTCCACGTAAGTATGATTATGTTATATTTACAATCGGCTCTCGTGACGTTTCATTAGACATCTTTGCCCGTCATTTCTACCTCTTCGAGTTCATGGTAGAGAGTATAGAGACCAAAATCTGGTATTAGTTTTTTCTAACCTGAAACTATTTTGATAGTTAGTAGAATAATAGTGTAGACATTGACACCAGTAGAACTAGTCCCACATATGATCAAAATGGATGG